GCACCACTATCCTCTTAAATACGCAAAAGAACAAGTTTTTCGGAGTTTATAACACGGAATGGTAGTCACCGCAGCTGCTGCTATAGCTATCTTCATTGTTTGACAACCTTACACCTCTGTTTTGGCTTTCGTTTCCCCAGTCCTGGAGACTATGATTTTCTCAACAAGCTCCTCAAAGGCACACTGTACACCATCACATGTTTTTGCACATGCCTCTGTGAACAACATGGAATGTTTTCGGGCAAGCTTGTGACCCTCATTTTTCTCAACTTCCCTGTTTTCCTTATCAGTGTTGTTTTCTACTAACATTTAAAACATGGGTAGGCAAACTAAGGCCTGGGGGCCAAATCCGGCCCAATTGCCTTCTAAATGCAGCCCATGGAGGGTCCGGGAATCAGCGTGTTTTTACATGAGTAGAATGTGTCCTTTTATTTAAAATGCATCTCTGGGTTATTTGTGGGGCTTACCTGGTGTTTTCACATGAGTAGAATGTGTCCTTTTATTTAAAATGCATCTCTGGATTTTTCTGGGGCATAGGAATTAATTAATTTTTTCCCCTTCAAAATATAGTCCACCACCCACAAGGTCTGAGGGACAGCGGACTGGCCCCCTGCTGAAAAGTTTGCTGACCCCTGATTTAAACTATATCATTTCTTGTGCAGTGTGTTTCTAATTCAGTTAGCCAGTTGTCTGGTTTTGCAAAACTGTCTCTTCTTGTGACATTATAAACTAACAGAACACGCTGTGATCCTCTGTAATAGCTGGGTGTTAACGTTCTGAACCGTTCCTGACCGGCAATGTCCCAGATTGCTAGTTGAACCTTATTCCCATCCACAGATACTGTTTTCACTTGCAAGTTGACACCTAGACTTGCCAAAGCCACTCTCGCCGACGATGAGGATCTTCAGCATGGTCGAAATATCCTCGTCCATCCAGAGCCGTCTTCCCCATCGGGCTTAGTGGTGCTTTGCTGGCGCCCTCCCCTTTCCCTCCTGCACGTCCGCCAGCTGCGCCCCGTCAACCATATGGCTGGCGGGTGTGCAGCTTGCCTCCTAAGCCTCCGCAGGAGGAGAGTGTTCCCTCAGAGGCTTGGGAAAAGGTCGACAACTCTGGGAAATGGGGGGGTGGGCGGAGGGATCTTTGCACCACAGCGCCGGTTATGCTTAAGATGGCCCTGCGTCCATCCTAAAAACCAGGGGCCTCGGCCCGACCAATCCAGCTCCTCAGTCCCTGCTACACAGACTGCCATGTCTGCCATGTGGGGTTTATTTTCATCAGAAAAATGTTGGAAGCTATGCAATTATTATTATTATTATTATTATTATTATTATTACCCCGCCCATCTGGCTGGGCTTTCCCAGCCACTCTGGGCGGCTTCCAACAAAATATTAAAATACAGTAATGCATCAAACATTAAAAGCTTCCCTAAACAGGGCTGCTTTCAAATGTCTTCTAAAAGTCTGTTAGTTGTTGTTCTCTTTGACATCTGGTGGGAGGGCATTCCACAGGGCGGGTGCCACTACCGAGAAGGCCCTCTGCCTGGCTCCCTGCAACTTGGCTTCTTGCAGTGAGGGAACCACCAGATGGCCCTCGGCACTGGACCTCAGTGTCCGGGCAGAACGATGGGGGTGGAGACACTCCTTCAGATAGCTTTATAGGACCCAGTGGAACCCTATTGGCCTGTTGTGTCACATGATCCCTGCTGAACTGGACACTGCAACACCCCCCTTTGGTTATCTGGGTGGCACTGGTGCAAAGATAGGAGCAGTCAAGCAGCACCTTCTCCTAGCAAGATTATTTAGAAAGCAAGGGGCCTGGTTCTCGCTGCTGCACTTGCCGATTCAAGACCCCTGCTGCCTTCTGTGAAGGTTGTGAGATAAAGGTTGTAGTTCATAAACTTACTGTTACCTGCCCAAATCTGTTGGGCTTTTTGGTCTTCCAAAAGACAAGAATATGCCTGATCAATGTCTTTCTTTATATCAAGGTTCGGGGATCCTGTTGAGACGAAGGGCCACATTTCCACCTGGGCAACCTTCCAGGGGCCAGAGGCCAAAGTTGGTGGAGCAATGAATTCAAATGTTTTATCTGGGCAATTGATTAGTTTTGCACATAGTGGTCCATCCTTCTGCATCCTCCACCTAGGCAAACAAGAGACGTTATCAGAATCAGAGGCGCTAACTTCCTAGGAACATTGAGGGGGTCGACGTGATGTGAAAATTGGGGGAGGTGGCTCCCTCCAAAAAATAAAGTAAAAAATTGAGGCAGCCCACAGAGCCTTGGCCCCCTGGAGCCAGAGGGAAGATCATTTGCCAAGGCTGTTTTGTGATGGCTTCATTTTTTTTTCATACTTATATCCATCAGATTGTTGAGCAACCGAGGCTTCCAAGTTTCTGTTCATCTGCTATTTCAGCCACTTTGCTGCTGCTATTACAATACACAGATGACATAGTTCAGCTATCCATTATTCCTCAGAAACGACTTAAAGAGTTGCTTATAGAACTTGGAACTCATATCAAAAGAATTCTGAGTTGTAAAATATGAGAAGACTAAAGTGGTCCTTTTTGGCAAGCATCCTATTAGATGCAAACTGTATTTGCATAGCCATGATATTGACCAAGTGCCAAACTCAAAATATTTGGGAACTTGTCATTGTGGGAAAGTCTCCATACGACGAGCGGTGATTAGTGTCCAATGGGACTTGTGGGATGTAAGGCAGAAGGCTGACACTAGGTGGAGTCAGAGGCGCTGATAGGCACAGCCAATGAATTCTAGTGCAGATAGAGGAAGGAGGAGGCTGATAGGCAGTACAACGCCTTGGATTACTTCTAAGTAACAAACCTAGACAGCATCTTAAAAAGCAGAGACATCACCTTGCCAACAAAGGTCCGTATAGTTAAAGCTATGGTTTTCCCAGTAGTGATGTATGGAAGTGAGAGCTGGACCATAAAGAAGGTTGATCGCCAAAAAATTGATGCTTTTGAATTATGATGCTGGAGGAGACTCTTGAGAGTCCCATGGACTGCAAGAAGATCAAACCTATCCATTCTGAAGGAAATCAGCCCTGAGTGCTCACTGCAAGGACAGATCCTGAAGCTGAGGCTCCAAGACTTTGGCCACCACATGAGAACAGAAGACTCCCTGGAAAAGACCCTGATGTTGGGAAAGATGGAGGGCACAAGGAGAAGGGGACGACAGAGGACGAGATGGTTGGATGGTGTTCTCGAAGCTACCAGGATGAGTTTGACCAAACTGCGGGAGGCAGTGGAAGACAGGAGTGCCTGGCGTGCTCTGGTCCATGGGGTCACGAAGAGTCAGACACGACTAAACGACTAAACAACAACAACAACAACAACAACAACAACAACAAAGCAGGCAGATGAGGGACCAGCCTCCCTGCTTATGGCCTTTAGTATTCTGACATCAGGCTCCCGATATTTTTTTCTCCAAGAAAAGGGTGATTATCTAGTTTATCCTAAGCATTTTAAGTCCTTTGTGGAAGAAGTATTCCACAATTCTATGATTCGAAGCACTTGCCCACATTTTATGTGGTGCTAAGATAGAGCTGAAGTGAATTCCATGGAAGTTATTCAAAACTGAATCTTGAAAACACATTAGTTTCTATGTGTTCACATTAGTACCCCTTTCTTGGGGTACCCACCCCTCCAATGATTGATGTCAAAGCTGGCCTCCCTTCTCTTAAGGCCAGTAATACAGTGGTACCTCAGGTTAAGTACTTAATTCGTTCCGTTCTTAACCTGAAACTGTTCTTAACCTGAACCACTTTAGCTAATGGGGCCTCCCGCTGCTGCCGTGCCGCCGGAGCACAATTTCTGTTCTCATCCTGAAGCAAAGTTCTTAACCTGAAGCACTATTTATGGGTTAGCGGAGTCTGTAACCTGAAGCGTATGTAACCTGAGGTACCACTGTATACACAAAGCACTGCCTATGAACCACGAACGATTAAACCGATACCACGTTCCCTAAACCAGATCTAGCTGAGTGCCAGCATTTTTAATGGGTTTTAGTTTCCCTCATGGCATTAACCATGGAAATTCAGCCATGCTCTGTTGCAACTGGAGCACTGGAAGCGGCATTATACTAAGTCAGACTGTTGGTCCATCAAGGACAGTACTGTCTGCACTGGCTGCTAGCTGATTTGCAGGATTTCAGGCAGGAGGTGTCTAGGAGTGGTTGAAGAATCAATCTCTCTTCCCAGGGAATTCTGGGAATTGTCACTCTCTGAGGGGGACGGGGTATTTCTCTGGGGGAAGCCATGTATATTTGAAGCCGCATCATAGTGCTTTAAACAGAATAGTAGAAGCCTCTTTTGTAGAGGTAGGAAGCTTGGATAAATCGGAGGGCAAGTTTGGGCACAGCCCCTAATGTGGTAAATAATGTTATTTATTATACTGTTCATTTTGCAGTAACCCAAGGACTAAATTTCATTTCAGGAGTTCCCTTTTTCGAAATTTTTTTAAAGATCAGCCCCCCACAATCATACCATAATCATATATAACCTACAGAATTTCTGTATTTTCTGTTGCGGCTTGCAAATTATGACATAAATTCACCGAGATGTAAAATTGCTCTTGCCTGTGTAGGTGATCATTTGATAAAAACTGTTTTTGTTTCAGGATTCCTGTTAGACAGTTCGTGCTTTTTCCATTACTTTTTTTTTTAATGTCCAAAAGTCTCTACGTTTCATGTGCATATTTTATTTGCACTAAAGTTAAAGTGCTTCAGGTTTTTTTTTATATATCAACTTTAATGGGATTGTATATTGTGCTGTCATATGTGTAGCACGCTTGAGTTAACAGATAGTTTATGCAAAAAAAGAAAGAAAAGCAAAGAAAGAAAAGCAAGCAGTTGTCACATTTTTGGGGAGATTTCTTAAGCCAGCCCATGTGTGTGTGTGTGTGTGTGTGTGTGTGTGTGTGTGTGCATGCACATTAACCTACTTGTGAGATTATGGGCTGAGATCCTAAGCTTCCTCATCACACCTAAGTTACATTGAAATGAATGAGATTTCCTTCCAAGTAATTACGCCCAGGATCAGGGTGTAAGAAAGCCGACTGCTGGGTTGCCTTCCGAAGAGGAAGACGCTGTAATTTGCTTTGGCTGAGGACAGCTGCTATGTAAGAGACATACCCGTCCTCTTGTGTGCCACCAGCCGAATCTGCAGGTGGCGGCTGCCGCTGTGCTTGGCTGAATGAGGGTCTCTGTGAGTTCCTGAACATATGATCAGCCATTCCTCTTGCACAACAAGGGGGCATTTTCCCCTCTGCCTGGATTCGATATCCGCATGCATCTGTACACTTCGCTGGTGCCGGGAGGTGCCCGCAGTAATTATTCTTTATCATTTGAGCAGGCAGCCATCACATTTCTATCACTTATAAATAGCGCAGTCAAAATGTCCTCCTACTGCAAGGAGGTTTTGGACGCTTGACATTTCAGAACTTCATAAATGAATCGATTATAAATACACATACAGTGGTACCTCAGGTTACATACGCTTCAGGTTCCATATGCTTCAGGTTACAGACTCCGCTAACCCAGAAAGAGTGCTTCAGGTTAAGAACTTCGCTTCAGGATGAGAACAGAAATCGGGCTCCGGCGGCACAGCAGCAGCGGGAGGCCCCATTAGCTAAAGTGGTGCTTCAGGTTAAGAACAGTTTCAGGTTAAGAACAGACCTCCGGAACAAATTAAGTATTTAACCCGAGGTACCACTGTAAACACCAACACACCCCTTCTCTCATTATGGCCGGCCACGCTAGGAATGGACAAATCCTGTCCACTTTGGTTAATGTCAACGTCTCATTTTCCCCCACCTTCACTGTGGTTCTCCTCGTTTGTGAATAAGTTTTTAAAACCTGTATGCGTTTTCAATTGCATTGCACCTAACATATATGTTCCTGTATGCAGTTTTGCCTGATGTACACATTTTTGCAAGGGATTCTTCTAAAGAAGGATGCATTTCAGTACATTATTTCCACCAATATAAACTGCCTTTTTTGTTGTTGCAGACTTTCCCTTTCATAATTGCTTTTTTTGTCTGCATTGGGGAATTCCAGGGAACTGCATTTTTGGAATAAATGGTAAAATAAATAAATAACAATCTACAGCTCAGTTTAAACAAGGGGGTGGGTGGGAATACCATTTCGCTTCCTGACCAAGTCTTGCAGCTTCATCCTCTATGAGCTCTCCAGTTTCCAAACTTTCCCTTTCTCTCCATCTGCAAATATCGCTTTAAAAACCCCCTCAAAAGTAGCATCTTTCTCCCAACAGATCTGGACATTGCTTCCACGGAAAATTTTAGGTAGAATTTCTAGGTTCTCCTAACAGAACTGCAGTTAGTAGGATTCCTTGAGGAGATGGAATAATCATCAAATAAACTTTCTGTGAAGTCAGTCACACACCCGCCCCCCCCCCCCCGAGGAAGGGGACTAGGAGCAAAAACATTATGTGGCGAAGATGAGGCGAAGTGGTGAGCAGTAGAGACCAGTGGGGCAGTGCGGGTGGCGTTGAATTGTTCACCTGAGGAGGAGCATCAAAGCTTCAGCTTTGGGTGCAGCATATCAATTTGCGCAAACTTTGGAATGAATTTCTTGCTGACCTGTTTCCTCAAGCACCCCTAACTCCGAGGTGGCAGTGAATGTGGCAATTTCACAATGACACATAGTCGATCAGATGTGCCAAGATGCTTGTATGTTGCTGAAGGCCAAAAAAGTCTGTTAAGAGTAAAGGCAAAGAACACAATTCAAAGTGTTGTTGTTGACCTTTAAAGCCCTAAACGGCTTCGGCCCAGTATACCTGAAGGAGCGTCTCCACCCTCATCGTTCTGCCCAGACGCTGAAGTCCAGCAACAAGGGCCTTCTGACGGTTCCCTCATTGCGAGAAGCAAAGCTACAGGGAACCAGGCAGAGGGCCTTCTCGGTAGTGGCACCCGCCCTGTGGAACGCCCTCCCATCAGATGTCAAAGAGATAAACAACTACCTGACATTTAGCAGACATCTGAAGGCAGCCCTGTTCAGGGAAGTTTTTAACGTGTGACATTTTAATGTATTTTAAATCTTTGTTGGAAGCCGCCCAGAGTGGCTGGGAAAACCCAGTCAGATGGGCGGGGTACAAATAATAAATTATTATTATTATTATTATTATTATTATTATTATTGTCAAAGTCACGTTGTGGGTGATCCTAGTTAACCATCATGGGTCATCTAGTGACTGTTCTGATATCACAAGCCTACACAGCCAATCAGTTTTGGCTACATGCTACCATTACAGTGGACGCTCAGGTTGCGAACCTTCGCAACCCACAGTGTTCACAACCTGCAGCACCGCGTCTGCACACACACGGGTTGCAATTTGGCGCTTCTGCGCAAAGCGCCAAAACCTGGAAGTCACCTGTTCCGGTACTTCCGGGTTCGGCGCGGTACGCAACCCAAAAACACACAACCTGAAGCGTCTGTAACCCGAGGTATGACTGTATTGAAAGCAAACAAAGTCAGTGCAGACTGAGGGCCATGAGTCCTGAATGGCAGAATCAGAGACTTGCAGAGTTGGAAAAGACCCTGAGGTTAGGTGCATATTTTCAAAAACAATTACCAATTGTGCACGGGGATGAACACTCCCCAACCCCCCCCCCAGCTCTGAAGAACTTGTGATTCACTGAGCCCAGTCCAGCAGCTATCTATTATAGCCTGCCAAGAGCTTGCCCCATTCATCTCCCAACCCCTGTTTTTTTGCAATCGCAGCAGACAGCGCAAAACAGGGGGTTCATTCAGCCTCTAACAAGCTGCCATGCATGGCAGATGGGCTCTGTTTGGTTTGGTAGGTCACAAGCTGAGCATGGCAAATCCTTGCTGCTGTGAGTAACCCGGAGTACTGGGTGGCAAGTATTACAAACCTACGACAAAAAACAGTTGGAGGCTGTACAAGCGAAGAGAGACAACAAGGAAAGAAAAAGACTGTTACATTCCTGGAGCAAATTGCAATTAAAGCAAAAAATCCCAGGGTAGGAAATGAAGAGAGAGAGAGAGAGAGAGAGAATTAGAGGACCAGAAAAAGAAATTCCTGGTTTTCCCCCCTTCAGTTGGAAAATTACTGTAGCCATTTCTTTGGCCGCTTCACGCTCATCCACTTGTCTGAAGCAAATAAGTCTCCTCATTTCTGTTGACAAATATCTTTTAAATAAAAATAAAAATAAAAATCTCCTCATCTTTATCATGACGGGTGAGTTGCTTTGCACCTGGGCTGGCAAATTGTCTTGACAGCTCTGTACGGGTGAATGATTCATTGGGGCCCTGCGGTATTCATGCGTTGCCGCAAAAGCGACGCAGAGCCTTAAATGACTGTAGTTAATAAAAGCAAGATCCTGTGACAGAGAGCAAAATACACCAAAGGTGCAATTAAAGCCTGTGTATTTGTTGAGTAATGGGCACGAGGCTAATTAATATCCTGCTGCCTCCCTTGGGGATTAGAGAAAAAAAACACAACTAAATGAAAAGTTGGTACGGAGCTGAGATGAGTCACCCCCATCAAAAATTCATTCAAATATTGAAGTATATCTTTACATTCTGCCCCCTCCCCGCATGTATACATTGAACATGGTGGAAAATGGGGAAAGTGCTTTAGGGTGAAAGGAGGAGATGGTCCGCCAATGAGGGGACTGCAGTTTTGTAAAAATCACCAGCTCTCCAGCCCTTTCAGAGAGCTTTGACGAGGAGGGTTGTCATAGGAATCTGAAGATCCTTGACAAAGATGGTATTTTGCTGTTTCTGTCAGTGCTGGCATTTGTACAGTGGTTTCAAGGGCGACTTTATGTAGCTGCAGTCCTTAAAGCAGTCCTTAAAAAGAGTGACTAGTGGGGTGCCACAGGGTTCTGTCTTGGGCCCGGTCTTATTCAACATCTTTATCAACGACTTGGATGATGGACTCAAGGGCATCCTGATCAAATTTGCAGATGACACCAAACTGGGAGGGGTGGCTAACACCCCAGAGGACAGGATCACACTTCAAAACGACCTTGACAGATTAGAGAACTGGGCCAAAACAAACAAGATGAATTTTAACAGGGAGAAATGTAAAGTATTGCACTTGGGCAAGAAAAATGAGAGGCACAAATACAAGATGGGTGACACCTGGCTTGAGAGCAGTACATGTGAAAAGGATCTAGGAGTCTTGGTTGACCACAAACTTGACCACAAACTTGACATGAGCCAACAGTGTGACGTGGCAGCTAAAAAAGCCAATGCAATTCTGGGCTGCATCAATAGGAGTATAGCATCTAGATCAAGGGAAGTAATAGTGCCACTGTATTCTGCTCTGGTCAGACCTCACCTGGAGTACTGTGTCCAGTTCTGGGCACCATAGTTCAAGAAGGACACTGACAAACTGGAACGTGTCCAGAGGAGGGCAACCAAAATGGTCAAAGGCCTGGAAACGATGCCTCATGAGGAACGGCTAAGGGAGCTGGGCATGTTTAGCCTGGAGAAGAGGAGGTTAAGGGGTGATATGATAGCCATGTTCAAATATATAAAAGGATGTCACATAGAGGAGGGAGAAAGGTTGTTTTCTGCTGCTCCAGAGAAGCGGACACGGAGCAATGGATCCAAACTACAAGAAAGAAGATTCCACCTAAACATTAGGAAGAACTTCCTGACAGTAAGAGCTGTTCGACAGTGGAATTTGCTGCCAAGGCGTGTGGTGGAGTCTCCTTCTTTGGAGGTCTTTAAGCAGAGGCTTGACAACCATATGTCAGGAGTGCTCTGATGTTGTTTCCTGCTTGGCAGGGGGTTGGACTCGATGGCCCTTGTGGTCTCTCCCAACTCTATGATTCTATGATTCTATTCTATTCTATGATCTCCCATTTTTCAGATGGGAAGACTGAAGCTGGGAGAGAGTGTCTTCGCTAAGGTGGCTGGCATCTGTCTGTCTTGGGAGACAATGGAGGAGTGTATCTTTGTGGGTGAAGTGAAATCGTTGGAAGGTTGCAGCGCCTGCTGTAGCTGTAGAGACTGATATGGGAGAGACATGTTTTGTTGCAGCTGGGGCAGAAGACCACGTCCGGTTGTGCTGCTGCAGGTGCACCATGGCGTTTCTTTGTGCTCTTCCCAATGGTGATTCCTCCTCTGGTCATGGTTATGGATGCACAACCTCTCTTTTACTGCTGCCCTCTGCAAGGGATTCCCATACATTGAGGTCAGCATTGCCAGCCTTCATGTCACATTTGCAGACATCTTTATAATGCAGAGTTGGTCTGCCAACGAGCTA